GATTTTGTCAGAATTAGTGATAATTAAATGTTCTGAAATATATGATAGTGAAAATCCTAATGAAAATAAAGTTGACATGATCTCTGTGTGAACCTTACATGATCTGCCTATTTACACGAAATATGTAAAATTGTAATTGTAATAAAATTGTAAAATTTAGATTAAGAAAATGACGACTGATATAATTAGATTTGATTTAGTGTTCAAACCGTTAATTTTATACAACACAGCATTTTTTAAAGTTAAAATAATAGTTGGAATAAAGCAAAATATTTCTATATTTTATCACCATTCCAAAACGCATGGGGCCATTGGACCCACGACTACAGAAGTGTTTGTTATTTCCACGACTAAAGTTAATAATAGCGTTCCGCACGGCACATAAAAGCTTCGCAGGCTATATCTGTTCTTAGAGGAAGCTCGTGCCCCGCAGTGGGACGTATAATAAATAATAAACTCGTCTATCGTACTCACCCGTTAATGGAGAGCGTGGCAGGCTTGGCGGGCTCGTCGTGCTCGCGCCGCGTGGGCCTCCTGGCCCCCCGCGAGGCCCCGCGCGCGCCGCGGCCGCGGCCCCTCGCCCGCGCGCCGCGCCACGCACCGCGGCCCCCGTACGCGTTACGCGGTGGCGGGGTGTACCCCACGTAGCTCACTTGCTGCTGGGAGTACAAAATCGACTTGTTCAATGCGACACGACGCAATCTTCCCTGGCCAGCAGATTAAGCTCCGCTGTATACGCAGTCCGCAGAATAAGTGAGCTTACCGATGATAGTATTGCTAGTTTACTTTAGTTACTTCCATACTACAATGACCTATGGGATTCTTATGTGGGGTGAAGCGGCAGACATCCAAACAATATTTGTTTTACAAAAACGAGCGATTCGTTCTGTGTAGTGTTTAAGTTCTCGGGTTTCTGGTATCAAGATTGTGGCATCACAGTACATTTACTCAAATATTTTATATGTCCTTAAAGATATACATAATCTCAATAAGAAAGAAGATATCCATAATAGAGCTAAGTCCAAACTCATGGTACCACGATTTCGTTTAGCCAAGGTAAACGATTCTTTTATGGGGAACTGTATACGTTTTTACAATAAGATTCCGGAGCATTTATTAAGATTATCATTTCCTAAGTTTAAAAACTACTTTTAAAAGTATTTTGATTGAAAAGTCATATTATAAAATTGAAGACTACGTGTTAGATAAAGATGTATGGAAAGACGACAAAGATGAGAAAGATTCCACACAAATTTGATTCAAAGTGTAAATCTATATATCATTTAAGTTTATTTGAAAAGAGCTTAAATGTGACGTTTTCAAGTGTAAATTTATTTTACCTATGGAATAAATGATTCTTTGACTTGGGACAACAACATACGCTCGAATTCGTATTACGCAAAACACAAATTATCTCAGATTTAAGCCTAGTACCTGAGGGTATCGGCTGGTGCGCGCGGGGTAAGATCCCGGGCCCCACTGCCCCACGACGACACCCGCGATCTCGAGCCTGGCGCCGCGAGGACTCTGCTGCGCCGGCGCACTACGCGCCCAGCCCAGAGACGCCACCAAGGGCAGAGGCGGCATCGCAAACTCCACCTCCAGACCCTCCAGGATCGCTTTGCGCATGCGCTCCACCTGCACGGCATATGTTTACATGTATTTTCTATATAAAGAAACAAATTTCCGAAATTCATGGGCTAAGGTGCTCGTTGAATCGAATATGAAATTAAACTTACACCAATGTCATTTTCATCTCGGTAGATGATTAATTTACATATGTAGAATCGGTGGCGGTTTAAGCTGGGCGCAGCTTGAATCATCACATCACCGCCTTACATCGTGAAAAAAATATTTATCTACGCTATTCTATATAAGAGCACACGCTACAAGAACAGAACATAAATAATTACATATATTAGTTTACATACGCGACACGCACATCCCGTACTTACTCGATTTTAGGGTCCACTGAAAACCAGCGTTACAGCCTAATCTCGGCGGGGGTATTTGCTGTGTGGATGCTTTTACAAACATGACAGTAAATTGTGTCAACTATTATGTTGGCTTTGTTGATTTTATTTTTGTTTTATGCTTTTTTTTATACTTTCTTTCTGTGTATTTTTGTGCTGTGGCTTTGCCATAAATGGTTTATCTATACATATCATAAACTCTCTATAATGTGTTATAGAGAGCACACCCGGGACACTCCATACAACAGTCGAAAATCATTTACCTACTACTACTACATACAGCAAGGCGCTATCTGCACACGCGCAAATGTGTGCGTTAAGTGGCAGGGTTACCCATCACTTTCCTTCTTGCACTATTACGTTAGGTGATCAGAGCGGCAACATAGCGAAAATGCTAACGCGAATCTATTTTCTATGATTCTATTAATAGAATCCAGAATCCTAATAATTACACATGTCTATTATGTATTTATATATATTTTTCATTAATTTACTAACTAGAGTAATATTGAAAATTTATTTAAAAATATAGTAAAAGCACTTAAAATATTATATTTTGGACATGTACTATTAAATAAGGTAACCAAGGTATTTGAAATTGCGTGTCGAAGTTGATCATCATTACTTAGTTAATAGTTAGGTATATTCGCTACTTACGTAATATTTATCGGCAATATGAATTCAAAATTCGAGAACCCTACTAGCTCCCGAAGTCATGGCGCCTCATTATATTAATATAATAAATCTGTATTTTTTAAACATACATATATTACTCTGCAGTAAATAAATGAAGAAAACAATAATTGAATGAGTCTCAGACGTAAGTTTTTTTACTTACCTACTTCGTTTCATCTTTCGAAAAATTACACAGTACAATTCACGACCTTTATATATAGTAACGTAAAATGATGTTTTACATTAATGTACAAGTTTCGTAATGAATGAATAAAAACCATGTTCCAATATCAAAGCCGTCTTCGCATGAAAACGGCTCGCCGGCAGCCTTGTTGTCGTTCAGTCAATGTGACCAGCAATGTGCGGCGTGGTGCGGTATCTAAAGCTACGAAGCGGCGGAGAGTGTACTTTCTCTTTACTGTTTGTTCTCCGATAGAGTTTATGATATGATGTGTCTCGACCAGCATAAGGATAAACTATTTTGTTAAAACAAGTTTCTTATCTGTGAAAATGTCATTATTACTTCATAATAACATCGAATTCTTAGAGCATATAGGACTGGAGGCGTCTTTGATAGACAATCCCCTTTGTCAAGATACAAGTACAAAACAACCGTCGCACAATAAACCCTACTTTCAAATCGATGTTTTTTCATTTGCATTATCGAATTCACCGCGTCTCAAGTTCTCCATGAAATATGTCGTTTTGCAACTTACAAACTTGCAAAAAAATATCTGCTAAATCCAGTCTAGCCAAGGATGGAATTACATTCCACGTCTATTTTTTACATTAATTGCTAATTTTCTATTTTAACACATTTTTTTCACAATGATCACATTGATTCAATTTATCGATTACATAAAAAATATTTGAAAACATTCGAACATTTGACATAAGCATGCCTATGAAGTTCCCTATTTACTAACAGGCAACTATAGACAAAAAATGGACGCTGTTTTTTGGTTATAGAGAAGCGACGCGCTCTTTTAGCTCCTATTTTTATCGACAGATTATGTAACGAAGTTTATTCAAATTGATTTCTCCGTCGTATTGTATGTTAAATAATAATGTAATAAAATATAAATAATGAAAATAAATTGTAATTGTTTAATATAAATCATCGTGAATCATGCCTTACTGTAAGAAAAAAATAAAAAGTACATATACAAGTACATACATACAATACACATAAATTACAAAAGCAATACATAACATAACCAAATTCAATCTCAATTTTCGTACCACAAGCGATTGAAATATTTAGATTTAGAACAAAGGAACTAGAGAGTAGATTTAATGTTAATCTTATTTTTAAAATTACTTTTTATTAAATGTTAGTAATAAATAACTAACAAAATATTGTTGTATTCGTTTTACTGTTTGGAGTTCAATCAGAAGTCCGAAAATATATTTGCCCGAAATAAAGTTTGCTCGAATTTTTGTAATCCCAGATGTATTTTTTAAAATTATTTTAGGAATATTACTAACTACCTTAATTTTTTGTTTGTAATAAGCAACTAAGATCCCCTGAAAACATAACGGTTTTGTTATAAATCGGTATTCGAGATTATGAAACTTTGAGTTTACGTTTAGTTGGAATCTAGAAATTCGAAACCTTACAGCATGTCGGAACTACCAACAGAGAAACACAGCTATTTTCACATTTATAATATTTGTATGTACCTATACAGGCTGTATATTTGAAAGTGATGCATATTCACACATGTCATAGTATACCATGTCACAACATAACATAGACTAAAATAAAATTAGGGATGTGGGATAGAACAAAAAATAAATCAACAAACGTGTTTTGAAGTGTACATAGGAATAAACCGATTCCCTTTACGCTTGATTTCGAATGAAATGGGAATACTACCAAAGCGAGCGCCGAGTGAGACAGCATGAATAACAATGATTTCACATTTACGTTTTAGGTTATGTTAATTATTTTTTACTTGAACTATCATCGAAATGTTTTACGTACTAAAAAAGATATGTTGATAGTGAGTCACCAGTTATCATTTAATAAGAATTGAGGTTTTTGGCGTAATTAAAAATGTGAAATCAAATTATTTATAATGATTGATTTTTTAGTTATTTACACTTACGTGGTACGGAGCAAGTGTTCAAAATGTCCACCGTTTTCCACAACGCATAGTCATAGTATAGCACGGCATAGTAAATTTTGTTTTAAATTGTACAACACAAACACATTTTGTCTCACAGTATAAAATGCTGAGATAATCCTCTTAAGCAACACTTCGACACTGATCACCTCCTCCGCGTAAACTCCGATTTGAGAACATTTCAATAGCTTGCCTCATACTATCACCACTTATTGCGTAAAATCGCACCATCTCAGTCAATTCGACGTTAGAATAAATACCCATTTTGCGGCGAGCGGAAGTGCAAATAATTTACGTGACTTCGTTAGATCAAGGTCGCGCGTGCACTGTCTGAAGTTGTAAACATCAGTTTTGCGTATGCGCATCGACCTCTGCTTTGTTTTTCGCCGCCGTGCCGCCACACGCCGCTGCGTCGGAGCAATAAGAGTGATGTGTATAGATTTCGATAACTAATGTTGTTCTCAAGTAGTAGTCGATAAAAACAAATAAAAAAAATATTTTTTGTAAAGTTTAAGTTCATTAGTTTATTACTTCTTTGGGTTCAGACTCAGGAATATAAAGCAGTCGATAAGTATGTCCCACTTTCAAATATGCTGCCTGTATATCTGCACAACTTGAAGTGAATTCGTATAAAATGCAACAAATTCTGTAAAATTAATTAATATTGACATTAAGACTACTCCATCACTCTTGTGTTCAAGTAGTTTTCACTAAAAGCTAAATATGCTGCATTTTGTTATTTCCAGTAGAAGCTGAATATGGATAATTTTTGGGCCTTTAAATTGTGGCAAATAAAATTAAGCAATACCGCAATGACTTTACAATTTAAATGAAATGGTTTTTAAAAAAGTTGGAAGTGTTTTTTTTTTTATATTTCTATACACGTTTGTATAGGTTAACTCCGGCCATGCTTGTCATTGGCTCCAACGCTGACCGCGAAAATCCGGAAAAACTGTGGACATTTTTTCGCGGTTTTTGGATTAGACTTTGGATTGTATTCATGGTCATCCTTCATTGGTAAGTCAATGGGCAATCTCCTCTGGCTAATACAAGTAAAACAATACCACTGTTACACTACTCACAAAATTGCAAAGAGAAATCCTCTACATCCAGTCTAGCAAGGGTGGAATTTTCATATACGTGATTAACCAGGGGCCTTACCATGAACTCTTATTACAATTCAGCATAGATTCGTGACGTGAAAAAAGCGGGATGGTGATTCATTCATTTCATATAGCGCTGTCTCACAACGATTAATTTTAGGCTCTAAACTGAATCGTAATAAGAGTTCATGGTAAGGCCCCAGTACGCAATACATATCGATACTGTTACGTCGATACCTTTCCGCCTCTAGTATATTCTTGAGAATCGATTTATTTATAGGCCTATTCTGTGTACGGACATGATATCAAGGTGTGTTTTATCTGTGGATTTGTAAAAATAAGCTAGTGTTGCGAATTTTTGTTTGTGTGAGACCATAGTGACCATAGATTTAGTATATAGGTACCCATAGATTGGCAATGCAAGTGAAAGAGCGTTAGTATACACGTATGTTAGAGCGAGATGGGTAGACGAGACCACTTCATGATACGCTATGAGCCTGCATGAACCTAGGGTCAACTGACAACGAAACAAATTTCGTTTATTTTTGAAAAATAATTGGTTTTAAAATGTGAAATAGTATTAAGCGAACGTTTATTAGTCATGGTAACGTGTTCAGTACCCGGATGTAACTCATCTAAAAAGGAAAACTCGCAGGATTGTACATTTCACATGTAAGTACTATTTAAATTTTTAGCTGTCCAAAAGCACTACCACAAAAGTTTTTTACATAAATATATCCGTAAAATTATACCATTCAAGTGCATTAATAACCCAAATGTATACGAATTCAATTAAAAAATATATCAAATACGTGAATTTCTGAAATTCTTAACCCCACTTTCATAGAGATTGATGCAATCGATAATATGTTATCGAGATGTCATTAACTAAAAAAAAGAAATGCAAAGGCGAGGCTTGCATACAGCCGAAATCATCTTCATACTTAATATTATTGAATCAGAAATTTCTGGTTTTAGTACTTTATATTTAATTAATATTGCATTAGTGCATTATTTTTTGTCTACATTAAAACGGAAATTTCTTTTAATAGCGTAGTTGAGGCACTCATTTTTTATGTTAATTATTGTTGTTGATTCAGATTTCCTCAAAACATTGAAGTACGACAGAAATGGCTGATAATGCTAAAGAGAGAAGACTGGGTTCCCAAAAAGTTTTAAAAAATATGCAGCAAACACTTTCAGGAAAAATTATTTTCCTTTAGAGGCAAGCACAGATCACTTGTGTGTCCATCTGTCCGTCTGTCACAGCCAATTTACTCCAAACTTACTGGTCTGATTATTTTGAAATTTGGTACACATAATGTGTTTGTGTGACCAAAACGTGTAACTGATCATGGGTTTTATTACCGTTTTGTAGAGCCATAGTGTTATCTTGGGTGAAAGTCCCCATTGTTTACCTACCATCCTATGACACTGCCAGAAGGTGATAGTAGCTTTCTTAATTTTGTATTGAATCATTAATTAATTAGTTAATTAACATCTCGGCGTTTTGCGATAAGACATTTTGGTGAATACGACGAAGTGAAATGTCGGTGTAATATGTTAATCGATATTAAAGTTAAATCAGTGAATGGCGTAACACTACTTATCTTGCACACATGCACATTATACGCACACAGATGTATTTTTGTTTTGGTCTCGTCTCCAATACTTCAGGGCCAATCTATGGATATACTAAATCTATGATAGTGGCACAATACATGTGTGAGAAAAGTTTTTATTTGCCGCCATTTCGCCAGTCGTAACATGCAGTTCCTGAACACATCACACAGAGCTTATAATATGTATGTAATAAAGCAGTGTATGTAACTGTACATAAGTAGGCATTAAAACACACCTGAGATGTTATTATGAAACCCGCCTGTCGGCTCGTTTCATAAACCCACACTCGTATTTTCATGCCTTTCATTATGTAACAGTCACATAAACTACTGTCCTGCACGGCGACGTACCTTGACGACGGTGTCGAGGTGGTTGTCGCAGAGCTGCGCCAGGTGCTTGCAGTGGCTGGCGCGCTGCAGGTAGCGCTGCAGCAGCTTGCCGTCGAAGTACAGCCAGGGCGCTGCGACGAGCCACGGCACCGGCGCGCCGCAGGCGTCGTTTGCCAGCAGCGCTGCCTCCGCGCCCGCCATCACCAACGCGCCCAGCTGCACACCTCGAGCGCTTACGCCGCTTACCTGAGGAACATGACACCGTAGATAACATTTTTTCATTCTAAACTGCCTTCGCGGCCGAACGATTACCATGCCGGACTGCCATGCAAAGGTCCCAGGTTCGGTTCCCGGGCCGGGAGAAATATTTAAGAGGAAGCAGAAGAAAAAATCCTAATCTTCGATTTGATTTTAGAGGGGCAAATCCACTTCAAAGTTAAAAATAAAATATTGTACGAGTAACTACACGATATATTCAAGCACAGACGTTAATCAGAAACATAAAACAATAAAGTTTCCTCGATAGATAAAAATCACGAAAACACATCTAATTTTCACGTATTTTCGATTTATTCTCAAAATGCTACGGGTTATTAGGACAAAAATTAGATAATTAATTATATTTATGCATGATCGACTAATGTCGTTACGGATTTTTTTTAATCCCTTTAGTTTTAGAGTTTAAAACGAATTTGACTTACGACTTTTTTAATGCGCAAAAGACAACATCTCATCATATGACTTCAACTTCAAGCATCTATTTCACAAATTAGTCACTATCGCTCCGTTGAGACGAGAGGATGTTGATAAAATTTCCGGCTGAGCTAATAATTTACGATGACGATTAAACCGTCATCGTAAATTATCAATCTTGATGGCTAATTGTCGGAGGTAAGTTTGTGAATAACCTACCTATGTTGAACGGTAAAATAAAAAATATTATTTTCGTGTGCATAAGCGCATTTAGAACTTACGAATTTTGATTTCATCAGTAATAGGATTGAAAATTCACCGGTTTACGAGTGAAGGTCGTGCTGACTATTTTAGTTGTTATTATAAATTTAATTTTCCAACTTGCACGTGAAACACTTGATTTCAAAAATAAGGGGAGTAAAGGGACAGTATACCCCTAGTGTTTTTTTAATTGGGACAATATGAAGTCGGTCTGGATCGGTTTGAGTATTTGCGCAGCAGTCTGCCTTTGATAATTTACTAAGTGTATGTATTTATTATGCAATTTCAATAATTATATTATTTTCATTATGTTCCTAGCTTCGTCGTTATAAACAATAAGCATTATAGTTTTTAGGCACTTATAATCACAGGTCAGGGTGACAAAGACAAAGAAAATATCTGTTCAGAAACGAATTCAAGAAGTTTTAGATATAATGAAATGGCGCTGATGCAGAAAATCGACAGAATCAGTAGCGAGTACCATAGATAATAGAATTTTGGTTAAAAATAAAAAGAGCCTCTTTGTGATATGGTTTATGAAATTATAATCACGCAAAGTGACTCTCAAAGTGAAGTCTTTCTAAATAATTCGAATCCAGTTATGTAAATATTCCATTAATAAAGGATTGACATTGTAGAGGTTTTCGCTCAAACCTCAAATATGGATCAATTCCCAAGATTTAAAACCCTGAATGTCTAGTTAAGAAGTTAGTTATAAAATGAAGTCATTCGTTCCAGTCTGATTCTTTACAACATTCCGAAAATCTGGTGCATTAGTGTTACCGGTTCTCCAATCCAAATTATTTACTTTTATGGTTAAATATTTTTTAACTTTTTAACTGCCTAATTAATAATTAGGCAGTTAAAAATATATTGCTAATTAACTGCCTCCGTGGCCGAACGGTTACCATGCCGGACTGCCATGCAGAGGTCCTGGGTTCGATTCCCAGGCCGGGAGAAATATGTGTATGGCCTACATTTATTTCTCTAGTGAGTTTGGGTGTAATTTGTGGTTGTCTATGTGTGTGTCCATGGCACCCGCGACACAGGGTTTCCCTAGTGCGGGGCTATGTTGAGTGTGTACGTTATTATTATTATTATCACAAACTGGACACTTTGGAATCCGAATGCTTTTCTTTTCATATTTAAAGCATACTATTTCGTGTGATTGTTTACAATTCGTAAGAGTATGGGAATTAGTGGAACATCTAAAATATAATCTTTTTTCCAAATAGAGATACAAAAGCCCTAAGGTATATTCATTTTCACTTTTCATTCAAAATCAATTTGCTCTCAATATTACTGTTAGTAACATCACGTCTGGAGAGAATTGGTAGCTTGTGGTTCCCACAATCTTGATATCGACCAATCCGAAGAATTTTTTGCGCCTAGAGACGAATATGTGGAAAATACCGGTAAACTTAGAGAAAATTTCGATCATGTACAAAGTTCTTTCATGTAAAACGATTCTCTAAAAAACTACCTCCTAAGCATATGAAACGTTGCATTAAAAGTAAATTATCACCATAATATATGAATTTGTCCATATGCAATTTGTAAACTTGGCAATTTCAACATACGATAATTTACGTAGGAGTCGACACGTGATTTAAAATGAAAAAATGTCAAAACTGTCTCAAATAATGTAATTTTTTTTTCAAGTATTGGGTAATTATGTTAACGTTGTTGTAGTGAAATTTAATATATATTGTGCAGTACGTCTGTAATTGTCATATGTACATACCAGTTCTAGCCTTATGTCTTATACAATGTAATAATGTGCCTAATATAATAATTAAATTAAATTAAAATGGGTGACCCACACAATATGTCGATTCAGGT